ATTGTTTATAAATATGTTTGGTGTTTTCTTTATAAAGCTCATTTTTGTTTTTCTTTCTCAGTTTACCTTCTCAAAGTCCAGATTCTTGTAGATAAAGATGCCATTAAAAAGTTCGTTAAATAAAGGCTCTAAACACTATCTGCAGTCTCCAATATTTCCGATATATAAACAAATTAATATTTTTGTGCCCTATATGTTATTTTCATAGGTCTTGCAATAATTGTAGTTTCATCATTCTTACTATTCAGGCTAGTTATTTCCTGTTATCAAGCGTGAAGACATTGTTTTCTAAACTTAAAAGCACGCCATCTACCTCGTTGCTCCCCAACTTTTCAATAAATGAAAACTCACGGAACAATACAACATTAATGGAATTATTGTCTTCCTTATCTTAGAAACCACCCTCGACTACAGTTCATTATCCACCCGCTAGATGGCATTGTAATATAACTCGTTGTGAGCGTCATAAAGCTCTAATTTAATTCAATATCGTACAACTAGCGACATCTATGTGATTTTTCCAGAACTACCAACAGAACTTGAATCACCATTGTGTGACTAGAATGAATTAGAATATCAATAAAAATGTTTTGGTAAGAGATACACCTGAATTATAAATCTCTGCCCAATTTTAAATTGTACTTATTAAATATCGCGCTACCTATATCTATCATTTATCTATACTAATGTTATAAAGAGATGTAAAATTTGTAAGTTGTAAGTTTGTATGTAGGGGGTAATCTTTGGAACCGCTGGACGGATTGCCAAAATTCTTTCACTGATAGGTAGCTACAATGTTCCTGAGTGTTATAGGCTATAAAACATCAAGCTACGATCAAATGGAGCCGAGCAGCGGGTGAAACCGCGCGAGAGTAGCTAGTAATTTATATCTAGTGACGGAAATATTTCTAAGAACGTCATTTGATTGTGAACAATAGATGAGAAATACAGGGTGTAGAAAAGACACTTAACGAAGCCGAAAGCCACATATTCTACCCATTATTTGGATCATTTTTTTCTTCGCACACAATGACACGAATCCCGTTTGCTTTACATTGCGCGCAAAAAATATATTATTTTTTTTGATACCTAAAAATGAAAGTCGTTTCCCAGTGATAATTTTAGCGTAAAGCTACTTAGTTAGAACTGCAGTATGCGTAGTTAACGGCTTCGTTAAGTGTCTTTTTACACCCTGTATAAGGTGTTCTGACGAACTAATTTGGCCATTTTTATCTTTATCCCATTTTTGTCTATATGAAAAGTGTTCTAATTATATACATTTTTTTTTATAATAAACGTTGCCCCACTCTAGGATTTTCTCCTGTGTCGTGGGTGCGGTTACAAACATACAATTTCACATACACATGACACCCAGGCCCGGAACAACAATTTGTGGGTCAGACAAAGAGTCGTTCCGTGCGGGAATCGAACCCGCGACAGTAGCCCAGCCAGCGCACCAACCGTACAGACGAATTACATAAATACAAATTCAAATAAAACACACCCTCCGCAAATCACTTTAAATTTATTTTATAAAAGTAACTCCAAATAAAATATTAAAATCATTAATGCGAACTAAATTCATTTTACACATAATAATAATAATAATTACGTTATCACTTATATACTAGTTTATATAATTTCAAATTCTTAGCTTTTCAACTAGCCTACATAGAAATCATAATAATTTCATTCATAATATCAATTTACGCGGATATTCCGTCTTGGCAACTAGTTTTACGAATTTCGCAGACATTCATTTATTATAATAGCCAACTTTTTCATAAAGATCTTTGTGAAAAAGTGAATCCCCCAATCCCTCCGCAATCCCAAAATCACCTAATCCCTAATCCCCAAAAGGCCGATAACGCATTCGTTACTCCTCTGTTGTTGCGGGTATCCATGAATGCCGCTGATTACTTACCATCAGATAATTTGTATGCTCGTATCAAAAATTATTTTAATGGTCGCGAATTTAGGGCTATTTTACGACAAATACGGCCTTCAATAGATTTCACACCTTATTATCAATATCGTTTTTATATAGGTATTCATATTTTATCGGCAAACGATCAATCAGATTGGACCTGATGCGCCAGCTAATTGCTTACCAGCAGCTTTGAGCACTTGCAATACACGATGAGTTGTAGCATTGTGGGCGAAAGAAATCTTGGAGATTTAGAGATTGGGGGATTAATGAGGATTTACAAAAAGTTTATTTAGGATTAAAAAAAAAGTTTTCTTTTTTAACAAAAAAAAAGGAATTATCGAAGAACGTGCTTATTGTGATCTGTTGACCACCTCAAATAATCTGAAAAGATAAAAGACTTTAAATTTGTCTGCAATTGTTCAAATTATTCGTAAAACTAGTTGATTTCAGTTAAACTCTTCATTATATGTTCATTTGGCACGTTACATTTCGTTTTTCTCGCGGACGGCTCTAACACACAAATTAATATAATACTGTAAAGGTTTCTCTCGACTGCATTGTCACACGAAACGATTTCGCCATGCTTAATTTTCACATATATCTTGTTAAAACACTTTATAACTTGAAACTGATAAATTTGAGATATAAGTCGTGCTGTGAAGTATAATTCTTCTAGATCGTACATAAAAAATAAATTTAAACAAGGAAATAAATTAATTTACAATTTCATATCAATTTTATTTTCCACAATGATTTTTTGTCTTGGTAGAATGTAACTATTCATGTTATAAAACGAGAAAACTTCATTTATATCTTAGTGTTCACCACAACATGCACTCAATAGACACCTTTACATAAAGAAAAAAGTTTTCATTTAAATATTAATAATTAAATCTATAAATCCTATCACAACTTCCGAAAACAATTTATTAAACTGAGCAAAACTAAATTTTATCCTAACAACTAACAAATAATAATGTTTTTTTTTATTATTAGTAATAATAATATTATCAAATATTATCAATATTATAATAAACTATATAAATACAAAAGAAAAGAGCTTTTAATACTGAATCTCAATTCCTTAATTTTTCAAATATTTTTATAACGATAAGAATCTTAATATAATTAGTAGCGAAAATTGGTGTAAATGTAGAATATATAATGTTGACAGAGTATCACAAATTACAGTTACCTACATAATCAAATCAACATTTCTGTACATATATTTGAATAATTTTAACAATGTTTTTCTTCATACTTGACTTCTGTAGATATATATCAAAATTCTTTCGATGGACTGAAACTAATACCATACCTAATTAACGGCTTGACAGTTTTCAAAAACCAATCAATACATTTAAAAAGATTATCTTCCCTAAAAAAAAACAATATTATATAACATATCACTTATAAGCAACATGTAGTTAATTAGTTTATTTAAATAAAACTACCTTCTTCAATGGATAAAAGCTAATCATGGTCAGACCATATTAGCATTTACTCACTTTTCAGGCAAAACAATAATTACAGTATAATTTTTTTCTATGTGACAACCCTGCCAACATTTATCCACGATCACTTACGCTATACATACAACTATTTGGCCACAACGATGAAGAACAAAATTGAATGCAATTATTGTGGAAATCACTTCCCTATTACAAACATCTTTGGTTGAACGACGAAGTTTACAAAAACCATGAACTTTTTTGTGTCAATTTATTCTTGGCTCTTGCCGAGAGTCTGTATTTCCCAACGGGTCTTTTCCTTGGATGTGATAAGCCTCGAGAGAATAAATTGCTTATTGATTACAGTATTTCATCTTAAGTCACAACATCGCTTGCAAGTAACACAAGTTCTGGTTTTCAAGTGTAAAACAAAAATTGAAGTCAATGTATTTATTTTAATGTAAAAAGCAACTTTACGATTCAACCATCGATATTTTTAGCTGATCACTTTTTTTCATACCTAGCCTACTAATACTAGGATACTTAAATGACGCGCTCATCCTGATATCATAATTATCATCATCAGTTCATACTATAAATCTGATACCAAAACCACTAAGTACCGACACATTCTCAAAGAAGAAATAAGAAGCGATACTAATATAGATATCAAATTCATAGTACGAATTTGAGAGATAAATACCAGAAATTTATAAACGTAGTAATTTCCTATAAATCATAATCCTAATCTTTTTTAACGGATACTTCGGATTGACAATGAAGAAAAACGATGGGCCGCAGGTAACCTCACTCACACGGTGAAACATAACGAAAGAGTTATTTCACGCTAGTATTCTGCGAGTGTGGTAGGACTCCTAGCCGGCCCATTCACGCCGTAGCATGGCTCTTCCACATTTAATACATCATTATTAAATAGCCTTTCGGTATTATAAAACGTACATTCGAACCACTGATCGCATTTGTTTACTATCACACCTAGCTAATGTTATTACTTAAATCTTTGATACCGCCTCTATCAAAAGCTTTTCACAAATCTCAAAATAGTTTTTTACAATAAGGTGCATTTATATGGTGTCTGAGAAAAGAAATTCAATCAATTTACACCTGAGTTAGGTCGTCAAATATATGTTAAGTTGACAAACCACACCATCTAAGTATCCTAGTAAAATCTAATATACAATTCACCTACAGAGCAACACACAGAGCGGTCAAGGGCTACTAGTGGCTGTATCTGATCTGAAATAAAACAACGAGGTGACTGGAAGCTTACGACTACTTCAATAGATTTTACAAAATTATTTACTAAACAGTGTGGCGACAGGGAGAAAGTGACACATTCCAAAAGAGAACTAGAAATAGAAAAAGGCAGTCAAATGAAGGTAATTGATAAAGATGGAAAATAGTATCGAGAATCAAATAGACTTCACATATCACAAATTGGTATACCTGAATATCACATTATGTTACAATCTTTACTTGTATCAAGTAACCACTAACACGATATTATACTTCCCCACACTACTCTCTCCCTGGCACCACGCCTCATCACATCAAAAAACAACCTCAAACATACTATATACATGAAAACGAGCGTTGAATTAACTCGTGCCATCAGACTTGCTGGATTCACTCTCCTCTGTGATCGTGATCATGGGGGGTGAGTCGTACGCTCCATCCCCAGGCGAGGTTTCGTTCATCAATTTTTCAAATTTCGGAGATTCCGAAGGCAGAATCACGTCTCGGACAGATTCAAACATATCAGTCCTTATAATTGGCAATGATCCTCTCTTACCCTTCAATACATCTTTTCCAGTAGCATCATCTTCTTTGATAGTTTCCATAGGTACCTTCTCTGGTTCTCCTTCTTCTAACCGCACAGGAAGACTATCAGCACGATTCAAAGACTTGGAGCCCTCAATTTTCTCTGCCACAGGAACTGCTACACCGTTTTCCAATTTCTTCTGGTCATGAAGATGTTGTAAGCTATATTCTCTAGCTTGAACATCTGATAACAGAGGTCCGTCAGTTGAACCTTCGATGCAATACCCTGGGCCTTGTAATGCGTCGCTACCTATGATCGAATCTTGTTTAAATATTGCCGCAGTTACCACTGGCTTATCAGGGTCCGTAGGGGTTTTGGTAATCAAGGGTTCTTGAGAGTTGTCTGTCACTATTCCTTCTGGTACATCGTCTTTGGATATATCATAGCCAGCATATACTGGGTACCCGAAAGGTCCCTGCTCATACCCCAACTGACTGCTATATGAATAGCTTACGTTGTGAGAGCCGATTGATGACATGCTGAGGTCCGAGATGGAGAGACCAGTACTAGACAATGCTAGTGCTTTGTCTTTTTCATACCTTGTGCTACTCTTTTCGCTGTCTTCTTCTATCTTCTTCTCCAGCTCTTCAGGGACTCGATGTATAAGAGCCTGATTGGTTGAGATTTGAGGGTCCTGGGGTGGGGAGTTTGGAATAGTCTTGTTAGGTCTATAGGCTGCAGACTGTTGCACCTCGACGACGAAGATGCCGTCATTATCTGGAGAATACTTCATCTTAGTTTCGCGACCATTTTTGGTGATATCCTGGAACATAAAAAATTTGATTTTCAAAACAAAATAAATATATGCGTGATTAAAACCAATGAAGATAAAGTTTCTGACGTGTTTCTATTTAATAACGAAAATGCTGAGAGGTAACCACCGCGCGCAGCGTTACGGTTTTGCATCAAGATTTTACGAAACTTTGTCTACTAGTCGAAGCATCTGCCATAATTCTGACTAATGTTTAATGATTCTGAACAAAACTAACATTAACATAATTATAAAATGAAAATCTATTACTGCTTAAATAACTAGAAAGCACTGCAGATATAATAAATACCTATTTCAGTTATTGTATAGTTATATTATTGATATTTCTTTACTTTTCTTTGTGTGATTGGACTATGGACACCCGCTAAAACGGAGAAGTTACGAGTGCGTTGCCGATCATTTGGAGATGGGGATTTGGTAGGGATAGGAGGAAGAAGGATAGGCATAATTAACATTGTAACGACAAAAGAAAAAATAACCATGCATGCTTTGCTTCGCATATTAAGGTAAGATTAATTAGAAAAACTCACATTTCTCTCTTCAGTTTCCACGATCAGATGGTTATTCTTCAAGGTCATGGTGAAGATGGACCCGTTAGCAGCTGGAGTCTCCCCGCCATCAGTACCGGTCCTCTCCTCCGTTGGAGACTTCAACTGGAAGTGGAAAATGAATCTATGTTACTTTTTGTAGTTAAAAATATTATTTTAATTATTAATTTAATTTTAAATATTAATAGAAATTTTTAATCTCTCGCGCGGTTTCACCCGCTGCTCGGCTCCATTTAATCATAGCGTGATGTTTTATTTTTTATAGCCTATAGCACTCAAAAACATTGTAGCTATCTATCAGTGAAAGAATTTTGGCATCTGACCAGCGGTTCCAAAGATTAAGTTAAGTGTAAGTTTGTATGTAGGGGATACAAACTTACAAACTTACAAATATAATAATAAAAACAATAAGTTTGTAACTTACAAATTTTACCTCTTTATAATATTAGTATACATAAAAAATCTAAGAAGAACTTTTATGTGGTAAGTCGTATAATATAACATAAAAGAAATGTTACTCTTTTTACAATTTTTAGCAGAAAAATGGCATGTGTTATTTAGCTCCATAAAATTTGCTAAACCTATATTTTTCCGATGATTAACGTTAAAACTGTCCCCATGACTGGCCAGTTGACCAGCACTGTTTCTATAAACAAGGGTTATAAATCAAGTCAAAATTATCAGCTATTTTACTCAAAGGACACAACCTGTGGACATTAACATATGTATAAATGTACATATATTGTCAATTCGTTTGTCATGTTTTACCTCAAATAACCGCAGTTATTACCGAAATGGTGATGGCATTCATAATGACTAACGTGGGCCAGGCACAAAGGAGCTATCCTCTCGTTTGGACCCGCTAATGACCCGCATTGACAAATCGTTCACCTTCGCCCACGTAACTGTTGCAAGGGATAAGAGTAAGCGGAAGCTTCAGCCTATATCGCTGACACGAAATAGTGAGCAAGGATAGCTCGTCGCCCGAGCAAAACCAGACCCGAGCGAAACGCGCGTAGCGTTTCGCGCGCGCCTGAAAGAACCAACTGACCACAGATAGGGACCAATAGGGCTGATGTTCAGTCGGGTTTTTGGGCCATGGTCAATAATGTACCGCAGTTTAAGTCTGTACCCGGAGAAGAAATTAGGTGGTTTTTAGTCAGTAAGAGTCTGACAAATGACACATCCTTTCGGTTTTTAGTCAATTAGAGCCTGAGATTCCCTGTTGCCCGACCCAAGGCGAAAGTATTCATTCAATAAATAAGCCCTCTCGAAAAAGCCGTCATCGTCTTCGCTTTAAGACTACTAACTGGCGAATGCCTGTCCAACCACAAGTTACGAATTCCATGCTTGGCAGGGAGTTTGGGGATCACAGGCTGGGTCTTCAATGATGTAGAAGATACTGCTGACTCTCTGGGTGTCTGGTGCCTACGATCATTACTGGTAACTGATTTAGAAGCCACTGAAACTTATATGTACTTCTAATGTTGGAGAGATTCATCGGTTACAAAATCTGCTTCGCTTACTTGTATTGTTTATAGCAGTGGTATGAAAACTACAACGATTATTTTATATTTCTCTAGTTACGATCAATAAATCAATTGAAAATCATAAAACAACATGGCACGAGTAACTAGAGTTATTAGTTAATAGACTACGCAGCATCAATCGTCATAGTGCAATGTATTTACTGGAAACCGATAAATTAATAACAAAGTCAAAAGTCAAAGTCAATTTTGCACATTCACAGAAATCAGCCTTCATTGTAATATTCTGTTTATTTTATTAAATACTCTAATAAATAAATATTCCTAAAATCAAATACCGACCTCCGAAATATATCTCGCGTTTAGAAGACTTATTTTTAAGGATACGACAATCGCTACCTTTCCTCATTTACGCTACACGAACCAAAATAAAAAGACCTCTAACATTACATAAAAAAATCCTAATTCGTTTCACAATTTCCGAGCCAAAGTAAGCGGGGAGGTCATTCAATATTGGTCGCTCTCTCATTTCGTACTCGGATAGAAATTCTTATATTACGTATACATTAAATATTAGATTTTAAACTTAACGACTTCGCGATAAAGTTGCAAGTCATTCGGCAAGGAATTTTTATGATTTGCGTTTGTAAAAAAATAAAGAAGTGTTTTGGTATTTCAGCTTTTGACGGGCAATGAAGCGTGGCCAGGTGTTAGCAACCTTTTAATTAGTTATTTAAAGTTATGTTATATGATATTATAAGGCTGAGGGATCCTAATATAATTTTATAGGACTGTAGGCATCAGCTGTCATCATGAATCATCGTCAGTCGACATTGTAATCTCACTGTGTTATTTATTAAAAATAACAACTTACTCGAGGAAAATTAATTGAGAAATGCTCTACTAATTTCAAGTCACGACGGGACTCTTATTCATGAGCAGCGTGCGCGTCGCGGTACTCGCAGACGCCAACTCATAGTGCTTAAATCATTTAATTCACTTAAATCATTATTTTTAGTTAATAAAGTATGCTTTACGATAGTTACTATTTTGTTGTTTATAGTTGACTAATTCACTTATTAAGTATATAATTAGTTGTCCATTTTAATTCAACTACGATTTATTTCAAATGTACCTCGTTGCACACATTTGCATAATAATCATCGTAATTTTAACTATAAACTAGCTCTTACCAGCGGCGTCGCTCCCGTCATTTGACCCTACTCTACCTACCCTACTTTACCTATCCTACTCTACCTATCCTACTCTACCTACCGTACTCTACCTACCCTACTCTAACTACCCTACTCTACCTACCCTACTCTACCTACCTAACCTACCCTACTCTACCTACCTAACCTACCCTACTCTACCTACCCTACTCTACCTACCCTACACTACCTACTCTATCGCATCCTATGTCCTTCTCCTGGCTCTAAACTACCTCCCTGCCAATTTTCAGCTAAATCGGTTCAGCCGTTCTTGAGTTATAAGTGGAGTTACTAACACTACTTTCTTTTACATATATAGAAGATATGTTATGACGATTATACTTTTAAAAACGCGTTCTATTAAAGTAACGGCTAAGTCTAAGCACATTTCTTTTCAATCTAGATACAGAGTACTACTCCACACGTGGGCGGGAAAACATCGACACAACTTCACCACGTGTTTTGTACAATTCGTTATTTGAAAAACTATGTATGTATTACGTAATTATTAAAAAAATATTACAAATAAACAAATATTAGTTGGTTTTTGTTAAAAAATAAAATTTCTGGTTTTTGGAAAGAAATATGTTTTCAACAAATTAAAATATACGTTTGTCGTTTCAGTAATATCAAGTAGGTCCTGTCTTTTCTGTTTAAAATAAATGTTAATCAATTGTATCTACACAACAAATTTTAAGCAAATCGGTCTAGCCGTTTTAGCTTAAACATAACCAAACATATAGTTATTTTTACATACTTTCACATTTCTTATATTAGGCGGATTTAAATACAGTATATAACAATTGACGTCATGTAAATTGAACATGTTATACATAAAAACTATTGCGTCTTATATACTGTTGAACAGCACAATGCGAAACACGAGTATCTACACGAACCAATCCGACCAGTCATTAAGCCCCGAAATACCTACAAACAAAATACAAAAGTATATAATAAAACACAAATAATACACTACAAAAACGCACGCCCACATTCACACTTAAGACCTAGGGTCTTTTAGGTCTAACTTAGGTCACTGGCCGGTCATCGCCCGCGCATTTTGGCGCACTCTTATTTTTTTTACTCCCCCCCCTCCCTTACCTCACCTCAGCCTCCCAATCGAGTTGCAGTTTTTAGATGCACCTACTTGAGTCGTATGACTATCTAACGACCTGAACAGGAGATGGTGTGGAGTAGTTTATAATGTCTTCATAATGAATAGTGACCTGAATTGATATAAGTGTACGTCATTGACGATGACAAAATTAACCTTTCTAATATTATAAATGCGAAAGTTACGATGTTTGGATGTTTGGATGTTTGTTACTTAATCACACAAAAACGGCTGGATGAAATTTGGCACTGGCATAGGATGCACTCCGGGATAGGACATAGGCTACATTTTATTGACACAACACAGTAGTAATTTATATAAGGAAGTAAAGTCAGTGAATTAAAAAAATAGTTAAATCTTTTAATTACCTAAAAGTTTAATCATCATCACATTTTGAGTAGGTAGTCCAATGAACCATTATATTTAATTAAAACAATATTCAATCCATGTTCATTCATATTACGATTTAAACAAAATGAAAAAAAAACTATTTGACCCGAAAGTAGAAATCCTATGGGCCACATCTTGATGAAGGCAACTAATAATACTTGCACTAAAAACTAACGAAAAATATTTACATAACAAAGTCGACTCCAATACACTCGAATGCGCTCACGCATTCATCGAGAAGTGCGTTGCACTATAGCGAGCCAGTTTGACTAGATTTTTGGCAACGCGCGGCGCAGGCGCAGCCCCCTCTCCTAACCGTACCACCCCCGCACCGCTCCAGATGCAGTTACGACTTTCTGATGGCTTTTGAAAGAGATGAAAGATAATTTCGGTAATTAGTTTTAGAAATCTTATAGATCTTGATAAATGCTTGTCCTTGATATGAAAGTTCTTGAACTGAAAGCAATTGCGTTTTTTAAAGATTACTTTAATCAGAGCAAATGCGAAAACAATAGAATGATGCAATGATATCTCTTGAAATTTACATACTAATAACTACATATAACGTATTTTATTGATGATGGACTTATTATTCAAATAAATATGCTGCTTTTGAAAGTCGAAAAAAGATTTCAATAATACAATTCTATACACACGACTGAGTCATTTAGCTGGAGACCCTAACTTGTCCTATGAGTGATGGTAATCGTCATCGTCATTATCGTATCATCAGACTATAAATGCCCACTGCTGAGCAACGGTCTCTTCTCACACGGAGAAGATTTGAGCAAGCGCGCATTGGCGATTACTCACCGTATGTCAGTGGTGTCTAAATAATAATCATAGAAAGTATATTTAACTCGGAAAAGTCACATTGTTACTTGTCAGGTTTGGAACCCGCACTCTCATACATGAGAAGCGGGTGCCTTAATAGTGGTCCACCATGAAAAAAGGCTCGCTGATCAGCAAAGGCCCATTCTCACACGGAGAGAGTTTGAGCATCAATCATCACTCTTACCTAAGGCCGACTGGCAATCGGCTACTCACGATGTTTTCCTTATTGATTATTGATGATCATTTTCATCAAGATCAGCCTATAAAGGCCTTCTTCTTACACGAAGAAGGTGAGCATCACTCTTGCTCAAGGTAGACTAGCATTAGGTCTCACATAGTGTTTTCCTGATGTCCTTATTATCTTAGAAACTACATATAAATTAGGTACTAGAAAAAATTCTAATTGGTTCTTCCCAGGTTTCGTGTGCGTCATAAAAATGACCATTCTGGAATCAACAAGACCTTAGGCTTAGCAGTCGACCCTCAAACCATTAGGCGTACAAACATAACTGTGTTAGATTGTAAAGATAAGCATGTTTTATACTTTCCTCGGTGCTTACCATCAAGATAAGGTCGACCTTAGAGTGGGTGCAAGGTTTTACAACTCTTTTTACAACTTACGTTCAGAATCTGATGAGATTCTGTGTCGGTTGCGAATTCTTCAAAATATAGTGTTAACCTCAAAAAAATAAATGTAAGTGATGCCTTTTTATGTGGTTGGGTAAGTAGGCAACACGTTAGCTGTCATTTTGCCATCAGTGACTGACGTTATTAATTAATTAGGAATCCCAAAAGTTTATTTACATAACTTTTTTTCAACTTATAGTGATAATGGAACCTTTTTAGAGTATTCTAGACTGGAGACCAGCCCTCCAGCTAGGTTGTTCAAAGATTTCCGCAGCGTGGGCAGTGGTTGAATGAAAAGGGCCGAACATCGAGGTCAGTGGCGTGGAATTGCGGAGGTCTATGTCCAGCATTTTACGGAATCTAGCTGATGATCATCATTGAAACTTAATAATAGCAGATATCTCTTAATACAATAATAGAGTGTCACGACTATTAAATTTTAAAAACTTACGCAAACAACAATAACTGCACAAAGAAAAGAAAAATATATAAAATCGTGTTTGTATAAGATTTTTGGAAAACTATAATTCAGTTAATTATTATAATTAAGTATATTCTGAAAACTTTCGTTAATAGCAGAGTTACATTGATTCGTTCATGGCAATATATTTTAGCCGGAGGCTCGGAGACATGTCCGCTAACGGTCCAGAAACCTCTTACGAGATACCTATACTGAACAAGTACAGACAGACGGCAAAGTTAAGGAAAAAAATAATCAAATTCAAATTTATTTTATTTTTGGTTACAGGTAAAAAAGATATTTATTTTGTTCAATTGGCGTTGTAACAAATCTTTAAGGTGTGTCTGTGTAATATAAAATATACAATATATTTTTCTTTTGTGTTGACAAGCTATTCTAGCGCGGTTTCACCCACTGCTCGGCTCGTACAGCTCGTAGCGTGATGTTTTATAGCCTTCGTCAATAAATGGACTAAATAACACAAAGAGAATTGTTCGATTCGAACCAGTAATTCCGGAGATTAGTGCGTTCAAACAAACAAACTTTACCACTTTATAACGTAATAATCTTTTTTCATTATTTTTAAATATTTAATAAATTAATAAAATTAATCAAAATAATATTAGTTTAGTAGGTAAAAACTATTAATGAAAAATCGTCATCCTAAAAATGGGACACGTCTTATAATAAATTTATCAATCAACAAAGGTAGCGACGGGTAATAAATCCTACTAATATTGTAAATATGAAAGTTTCTAAGAATAAGCAAGCGGAAGATAGTATATTATAAAAAATAAAAATTCAATGGACACAGAATATTTTTTGCTATCGCTCCTTCCATGCTATCTCAATCTCATACACACGCGGAAGCCAGCTTCTTGCTATTCCCAACTTTTATTTGCTCTCAGTACAGTGCGCTTCACAAAGGCACCGTTTCACCCGGTTTGGCTCTTTCAAACATACCCTTTTTCAATGCCCATCTCTATAAAACGTATCACGGATATACCTTCATAATTTAGCTGGTATCTATTTTGATGTCCTTTTCATAAAAGGCTGAAGAATAGAAACGTTAGAAGTTTATGGATATTTTTTTTTGTGTTGCAGTTTTAGATTTTGGAATTGTGGCCATAGCATATGAACTTGTCTATAAAATTTAAACACATATTATATTACGTTTGGAACGCAATAATTAAAAAAAAAACCGACTCATATAGTTTATATTACTATCGTTTCATTTTAAAAACTAAATACCAACAATGCACATGATCCCAGTTTTTTTTTGTGAGCGGAAAATCATCCAATGACTTCTCCCGCCCAGGGCCGGGCGGCAGGGAGTGTCAGACTCTTATTGACTAAAAACCCCCCGTTCCTTCTCCTGCTCTGGGCCGAGGTCGCGGTGCCTCATTGCGCTTACCCCGCAACCCCGGCTGAACATGTTCCCATTGGCTAATAATGATAACATCAAGTGATTCGTCTTCTAGTTTATTTTACACAAATACTAACGAACCGCTCCAGCTTTGCACGCATACAATGCTAAGACTAAATTAAATAATATATTATACATATTATTATAAACCTTCCACTTTCATCACTCTATCTAATCAAACAAAGCACATCAAAATCCGTTGCATAATCTACATATAGGTACCTATACTAATATTATAAAGAGGTAAAATTTGTAAGTTTGTATGTACGGGGTAATCTTTACAACCGCTGGTCGGAATTCCAAAATTCTTTCAATGATATATTGTACCGACTACGTCGGTCCGAAGAGTATCCAGTCTGGAGTGTGACACAGTAAGCGTCATATGTAACACAGACTTTGTGCCGGGACCGGAATCGAACCCACTACCCGCGCCACTGGTGAACGTACCGTGCGCCTCAACATCGTCACACGCGCCGCCGCCGGAGATGGCAGCAAACGCGCGTGGTATCCGGCAGATGGCGCGTTGGACTCGCCGCAGCGCAACCATCAACAGCGATGCAGGCGCCAACGCTAACCAGTAGGCTGCGCGACGTCGCCGCGTCCGCGCACGCTGCTCATGAGGAAGAACCCCTCTGTGGTTCGAAACTAGTAGAGCTTTTCTCATCATTTACACGTGAGTAACCCGCGAATTTTAGTTAATTTATATATAGCTATAATTTTTCTGAATACTATAGGCTATAAATCACGCTACGATTAAATGGAGCTGAGCATCGGGTGAAACCGCGCGAGAGTAGCCAGTTTTTAGATAAAAGCATTTATAGCGATAAAGTGACTTTATTTTATACTGTGTTAAGATAGGGATAATTTTTACTTCGCATTTTCAACATTGAATCTACATCAAAACTTCATATAGAACATAAAATAAACAAATTGAATTCATAACAAAACTTTTAAACGATTCTTTACACAGTTAAAAAAACCTCAAACCAGAGCAGGATTCAAGCAAAACCCCTCACTTATAGAAGTCATGTAACTAAACAAATAAAACATGTGAGGAGCCGCCACTTCCCTCGCTTGATCCCAAGTTGCTTGTCCAATATATAATTCAGTTGTACTCCGCAACACAAACCCTTAGGGGCCCCCTTTCCTTTCGAAACTTGACGGGAACGCCTTGGGTAAAGAAGGGGTACTTACATGATAAGCGTATGTTATGTTATTAGAATAGATTACAAAGATTTAGGTGATTAATTATTTATTGCTTTTAGCTAATAAGGTTGATTCATTTGGATCAGATTCTGTTGTTGTGGGAGTGCCATGCCTCGGCACGAATGGGTTGGAAAAGAAAGAAGAAAACCGGCTTAAAACAACCTCAGAGTTGTATTTCGCCATGTGAGTGAAGTTACAGGAGGCCCAGTCTTTCTTCTCCCTCACTCTTATCCCCATCACGCAAACATAAAGCATACGATATTTCTTTTTATCTGTAATTTCTGTCATAAATTCGTTAAAATAACTTCTCTACGATAGAACGCTGACGCGAAATCCTTTTGTAAGGGCATTAATGTCTGTGATACAGCTATCAACGTACGGAATTTTACTGTTTTCGTATTTTAGTTCCAATGTCCAGAATATAGTCTATCTCTATACCAAATTCAATTCAAATCGTTTCATTAGATTCTACGTAAAAGATAAACAAACATCGATCCACACTAAAAAAACGTTCGCGTTCATATTGTTAGTTCAAAGAAAACAAAATGCAACGACTTTTAGGTCAGATATATATATTAAATAGAAGATGGTTGTAGTCACACGCCATTAATCCTGTCTCGAACGGCAAAACAACACCATTATGATAATGAGACGCCCGTGTAACACCAGCCAGCGATTCCCATCTTTCCACTTTATTAATTCCTATTAAACTATAATGTTCCCAGTTATGGGAACTGCTGTCTGTGTCCTTGTAAATGGGGTGATGATATATAATTCAATGTTGCGTGATAGAGTAATGGCGTTAATTTTCATATTTAGTCTTTAAGTACTAAGACATTGCCGTTTTTCATGAAAATATTTAACTTATCCATGTCGACGAAATATGTTCGGATGTATTGAAAACAAAACACTACTAACTATTAACAATAGACGAATTAAGAAATGAAGCTATTTTGAAAAAAATGTGATTTGAAATAGTCTGTAAGGCAAGGTAACAATTTCATAGAAAAAACCTATTAATTGTTAGGTATTTTTCATTTTATTGTTTATCTCTTAGTGTTTAGCACAAAGTTTTGTGTTCAACCTTTGACTTTTTTCTCTTTATTTTATTAAGAGACTTTTATACAGTGTATTTGTCAGTCCCATCGTACCTTATAATCTACTTAAACCTATTTAATTTACCTAACAAAACGTAATTTTACTAATCTAAATAAATCTAGGGCGGATTTAGAATTAGGTGAAGACAAAGCGTTATTAAAATACCTACATCTTCAGCCTATAAGTGTCCACTGCTGAGCAAAGACCTCTTCTTACACGGAGTTGGTTAGAGCATTAATCACCACGCTTGCTCAAGGCGGGTTAGCGATTTCAAACTTTAAGTCCTGGTTTTCTCACGACGTTAACCTTCACCGTATGTCAGTGGTGTCTAAATAATCATAGAAAGAACATATAACTCGGAAAAGTCACATTGGCAGTTGCCAGGTTTCGAACCCACACCCTCATGCATGAGAAACGGGCTCCTTAACTTTTGGACCACTACGACAAATAAGTCTTTATTTACATGCAAATACTTACTCAAAAAAAATAACATTACAAATTGTGGTTACAAAAAGATTTAAAACGAAATTATCTGGCCCCAAAGATCGAAATTTTTATTAACACCAAATAATTTCGGCATATTCCTTTTAATCTGTTGTAACTACGGCGTAAATTATTCATTATGGTACATTTTATAGAGTTTGGGCTTTTAAAGTCTTTTGTATTTATGTGCGGAATGTTTTATATAAACCAGTGTCGGCGTTAGGGTGGGCTGCGTAATTGGACGATGGCCCAGGGTGACAAATTCTGGGAAGCGTCAAGGTCTGAAGTTGGAGTCTCTTGCTTCGCCTAGTGCAAATCTTCAGAACTGTGCTCTACGCTCTGTGCATACGCATATTTTTATTGAGATGTTTTTAGATGGATTGTTTGAGGGTTTGTGAACGAGGAGGACGAGGAGACTAACACGTGATATTGCTTCACCCGTCACGCTATCACTGACCCCTCTGTCTTACGTATCATTTCTCACACAATCCATCCATATTTTCTTTGGTCTCCCTCTCCCTCTCCATCCATCCACATCGCAAAAGTGCAATACTGAATATTCATTGGATGTTGTTATACAAGTAAACCTTCCTCTTCAATCAATCTATTTATTAAAAATACTCATATCAAGATCCATTGTGTAGTTTTAAAGATTTAAGCGTACATAGGGAAAAAGGGAGAGAGAAAGCGACTTTGTTTTATGCTGTGTAGTGAAATTCAACATTGTAGAATCATTTGAATAACGATGAGCGCAAAGATGTAATACTTAATACTAAACATAAGATTATATTGTGCATAAAAGAGTAATAAGTCTGTTTACGACATCCTTTCATTGGAATATTATGTTCGAGTCAACTACGCGAGAAATGTACTAGTGTTGTTTTTGTTCTGAAGTAAGAAACTTTGCTTTGCTTTGTATATCAAGCAGACTGGTGTTTAGAGCTCATACACAGGCATACATGGGTGATGAATTAGGAAACATATGTATATGTTTGTCTGTTTGTTTGACTATCACCCAGTTTCTGAAAGGCTTGTCAACGCTAAAATTAACTAATCTCCTGTTAAATCTCTTGTCAAGTCATCTGATTGGTTGTTGATAATCCAGTCAACCAATCAGATGACTTGACAAGAGATTAAATTGATTTTAACATTGATCGGCCTTTCGGAAACCGGGTGTACGTGTCATGTAAAAATCCAAGAACGGTTCTGTCCCAATTGTGGTATTTGTCCTTCGTTGGCTATGGAGGACCGATAGCATTCGTAACAATACTTTACTTTTTTATTGAAAGTGACGAATTACTTTCGTATTTCACGTCGTTTTAATTACAGGAGGCTGGGCAACCGGCTATCGAGCAACGTGGGCTTCTCACATGGAATATATCTTTGTGTGATCCTCAAATTGTTGTTCTAGGTCTGGGTGTGACGTGTATGTAAAATTATATGTCTGTAAACGCACTCACGATACAAAATAAAATACGAATACCAATATTACTAATACTGATAATGGGCAACTCAATGAAATGTTGGGAATGAAACACACACTGCCTACACCTTCAGGGTTTAAAAGTTGTAACATTATGTTGTGTTTTTTTTTTGTGAGGGGAGTATCATCAAATGACTTCTCCCGCCCAGGGTCAGGCGGGAGGGAGTGTCAGACTCTTACTGACTAAAAACCCCCCTGTTCCTACTCCTGCTCTGTGCCGAGGTCGCGGTGCCTCATTGCGCTTACCCCGCAACCCTGGCTGAATTATGTTGTGTTGATGTAACATAAATTACTCAGTTTAAAAGTGAAACGTTTAAATAAAATTATTTCTTGGTAAATTTCAGTTGATTAATTAACCAGACAATTTTATTATACAGTAAAAGTTCACAACAATTTTCCTCAATTAAATTATTTGCTTTCCACGAACTGTTTTCACCTTTCTAACAACTTTTTTTGAGAATAACATCCACCTTCTTCTCGCGCCGTCGATGGGACCTCTATGGAGAAAAGGACGACGAGGAGAATCTTACTGACTGACACCATCATCTCATTCTTTCTCTGAATGTGGTCGCGGTACCATCGCAGTGTGCCTTCACCGGTCTAATAATCTAATTTACATTTCGAAGTATTACGTAATTCCTTTCCAATTAATTTGAGTTCCAAATTCAAATTCAAATAATTTAATTGTGGAACATAGATACAGATAAGATATAATAACAATGTTAGGATCGCTATTAATGTTAAACCTAATAGGCATAGGTACATCATTTTATTCCATATTTAAAAGAGTGCCATAAAAAAGTACCGCATTATTTTAGCCGGGGTTGCTTGGCTAGCGTGATGAGTACTGGCGTCGGCCCAAAGCAGAACATGAAACAGGGTCCCCCTGACGGGGTATAGCAAGAGTCTAACACTCCCTCTTGCCTCACCCAGGGCCAGAGAAGTCATTTGAGGATTTTCCCCTCACAAAAACGGGGTCCTGTATTATTTTTTCGAACGCTATGCTGCCCGTCAGCACATTTGTCTATAGTTTTTAATGTTTGTCATTAGATTTTTTTTTTTGTGAGGGGAAAATCATCAAATGACTTCTCCTGCCCAGGGTCGGGCGGGAGAGAGTGTCAGACTCTTACTGACTAAAAACCCCCCTGTTCCTTCTCCTGCTCTGGGCCGAGGTCGCGGTGCCTCATTGCACTTACCCCGCAACCCCGGCTGAACATCAGCCCTATGCTCCACCGTATCCTCTAGGTGGTCCTTACAATGACGACACTCGGGCGTTTCCTTCCGGTCATTAGAATTTGGCGTAACGATTTGGTGACCCGAAACAACTAAAAAAGGTTTAATTGTAAGTATAAATCACCCTTTTAAATAAAAAAAAGGTACTGATCATAAAAAAAAACAAATGTGACTTAAAACTGGTACAGAGATTTTTTCAGTTAGTTCGTAAGCCTGAGTAAATCGTTGAAACAATTAATTTATTTAATTTCTCAAGAATAGAATTATTACTATTTATAACTTGTTTTAATTCTTAATCGTGAAAATGGTGGTAATCTGTAATAATTGAACTAATTAGATTTGGTTGTACTATAAATGAATAAATATTAAATAAATTATTTAACCAACTAATAAAATATATGATAAAAGTATGGTTTCCATGCGGGCATCGAACCCACGAAAAGTTTCCTAAAGGCCAGTTACCCAAGCTTTTGAATCAGTTGAGTAAACATGATGAACGTTAATGATACAATGACGTGCGATTTCAGCGTAAGTCATTGAAATCATGCGCAAGTAGCACAGTTGTGTTAGCGGGAGAAAGCATCGTGCGCTTGCGCAGCGGACTTTGAAGTTATCGATCATTGATAGGGATGCCTTGAGATTTAGTCTATACAGGATTTTTTACAAATAAAAGAAATTTCTGAAAAACTCCTAATTAACATTTGTTAAATTATTAATAAATTATTACGGTACTCTTATATAGAAATGGGCGGTACAGATAAATCAAGCGGTTGGTGGAATTAAAGACAGAGTATCCTAAATGAAAAAAAAGAGAGAAAGAGAAATTTGTGTTCCACTTTCAATATTTTACTTCCAATTTACCAATAAAATGAATGGAACAGTTTAAATTCTCTTTACATTAGTATAACACACTACCTCCGTAATTTCTCCCAAAACACGTTTGAAGACTAGTCCCGTGTAATAAAATAACATGGACACATTACTCTGCTCTCTCCGTAGGGCGGGGTACATCGCTAACGCTGGCGGGTGAAAGTATGGCAGCCATTGCCAAAGGGTACCGCTTCAGTGCTACAACAGTTACTAATCATTCAGTTATTTACTAGTCAGTTTAAGTGTGGGAGAGCCAAGCTTCGGCACGAATGGGTCGGCTCGACCGGAATGATGAGCGTTGTGTTTCACCGTGTGAGTGAGGTTACCGGAGGCCTAATCCCTCCCGTTCCCCTATCCCTTCCAGATCCTTATATCCGCAAGCCCTATCCCAAAAACAACGTCGGCAACGCCTTTGGCTAGGTGCTCATTCCAAATTGTAGGAAATGCATTTACAGTTTAAGAAACGACCACTGTTTCTTACACTGTAAATGCATTTACGGGACATACATATGCCGTTGATCATCTGTATGTTTGCACGGTTGACGCGGTTTAGAACCAGCTGCGGAGCAATGTGCCATAGGTTCGATTCCCGCACGGACAAAACTTTGTGTGGTCCACAAATATTGTTCCAGGTTCGGGCGTGATATTTTTGTAAAATTGTATGTGTGTAAACGCGCCCACGATACAGGAGAACAGAGACGGTGACGTTTTTTTTAGTGGTTAATCTATTTGGTTTAGTGGTTATGTGACCGGCCGTTGATCATTAAAGTTTAAGATTACCCGGGTAAGATATTCTCAGGAGCCGGTTGTACAGCCATCGCGTCTACCGTGTGGTCAAAATCTTACTAATTTGTAAACGCTTTTGACATGGATGTTAATTACTGTTTTTGATTGAAATTGTCACAGAGATTATAGTCTAGAATTATGTATAGACTACTTTTTATTCGCTGGCAATAGATATACTTCGTCATAAAGCATACTTCTATAGTGTTTCGTTTATCTAAATATAACATCAAATAACTGTAACTACCTGAAACCTTTTCTCCCCAATAACCCTGTTCCTTTATCTCATAACCAATAAATTATAGTTAGGGGGTCTTCGATTCGATTCCCGGCTAATGAGAGAAAGGTACGGTTCTGAGAATATCTCGGCCAGTTTAACTTAAGTTTAAGTTGTGGCTGGGATCGAGGTTGGGTTATTTCCCAACTGAGTATCATAATATATAATATTAGGTATCAATAGTGAAAGTTTTATTAGTTTCATCCTTAAAACTACGAATAAACTTTGTAGGTATTCTTGTTAAAAGAAATGGAAAATAGGTAATCGAATTGTTTTTTTTTTGTTTCATAAATATTGCGCTGTCCTTACATTTTGTCCTGTGTCGTGGAGGCGTTTACAAAAATATAAATTTAATTAATTTAAATAAAAATAAAACTGTTGTCCCACACTAGGATTTCCTCCTGATTCGTGGGTGCGTTTACAAACATACAATTTTACATACGCATCACACCCAGACCCACAAAAATTTGTGGATAACACAAAGAGTTGTTTCGTGCGGAAATCAAATTTGTCTGCGAGTATAACTAGTATACTGTTAAGACTGTCCCTCTGTCGCCGCATTATGGATGCTTGCGTATAATGGCATACAAGTCTCCTACTTTGGATTCCAGTTGCGCTACACCATCGAGGAAGTCCCAAACGCATCCTCAGGGCTTTATTATTATTTTACAATTTCATGTAGATATCACACTCAGACACGGAACAACAATTTGAGCCATGCCATACACGCGACACGTAAAACAGCATGACATGTAAAATAAACAACGACACTTAAAAAGCAACAACTTAAGCTGCATCAAATCACAATTACAAAGAAAAATGATAATTTAGTAAACAACATTTCATTCGCTTTGACTTAAACTTTAACAATGCAATCTGATACTATATACTAAACATACATTTCACATAATTTCAATGTTTTTTTTTTTATAAATTGTCCCTGAATTAATCATAAATCACAATTTTTCGGGATTGTTTGAAAGTGCCTTTGTAACTTACTAGCTATGTAAAGATTTGATTTACAATATAAGTACATAATTAAATATTCCCCAAAGAAACATAAAACAAGCAAAATATTGACAACAAATGATATTTAAGCCTTGAAACTTTAGTTAGTTACACAATTATGCAAATTAAGTCTTCAAATAATTTTCAAAGGACATTCACCTCAATAATCAGTAGCAGAAAGTCCAAAAAGACTTGAAGTGTTAACCGCGAGCACACACCTGCTAATTAGAGTCATCGGCAGATGTGCCAACGTTTGAAAGTTGACATGTATTGCAAAAACTGTAGGGTGAATGCAACTGTGGTCAGCCTTTGGGGTTCTGAATAATTTCGGTATAAGAAAACATAAATTTTATAGTATAAGTCATTCATCAAACAAAGTTTAGTTCAATCCAACGTTTCACTCATTCGAAAAGTCCTGATAAAAATCTATTTATCTTTGAAGGCCCAATTTCTCCTACCCCCGTTTCTTATTCAACAAACTTCAAATCCATACTCCCTAAATTAACTTTTAAACCTTCGCGTTTCATATTAACAACATATATTTGATTGACTAACGATTAGACTATTATATTATTTAGTCTGCTTGTGACCACGACCTGTGCAACCGGGTCGAAACGTCAAGCGTGCCAAGGTATTCTAATAATAATTTTCCGCGTTAATACCATACTCTCTATGATGTCGACAACGAACTAACATCTACTATGGAGTTAAGGATGTCCATGACCGATGTCGATTGCTTACCATCAGGTAATCCATATGACCGGGGGACGCCCTATCTGATAAGACCAATCTGCATGTAGACCTCTTCCTACATTTTTATACTTCTGACAACATTAGTTGCTATATGATAGCTAAAGGAAAATTCACTCACAGCGTTCGTTAAACAAAATGGTGCCGGGTTTTGAAAACAAGTTTCCATCCAATAATTACCTAATCAACCGGAACTAACTTGAATTCATAATTTAAAAACGGTTTGTATAAAATTACAGGAGAAATCTTTATTTTATTATATAGAATAGAGAGGCTATTATAATTCTTCGATTCTCATTTATTCGTAGAACTTTTTATGTGTAAACAAGGCATAATAAATCAACAATATAAATATCACAAAATCTATTTCAATTTACGACGAATAAAATATAAAAAGTAAACTAAATCCTAAAATAATAAACATTTATCAAGTTTATCGTACATAATTTTTATCAGTCATATAGGCTCATTTGACAACATATCTCCATGCACCAGCACTTTGTTAAAAACAATTTTATAGGAACAATATTTTCAAAAACTCTAAGCAATAAATATTTTCCTGAAATATGTGACGTCTAGTTCTAGACTTCTACTCCAGTATATGAAGTATGAATTATTTATGTGGCCTGAAAACGGTTCTTATTCTTTCCACTTTATGTTCTAACAAGTGTGACATTTATTGAGATTAATGTTATTTTCTGTTCTTGAATAGTGACAATATTAAACGGAATGATATTTCATAGATTTATTACATAGGAATGAGTGTAGACGGTGAAATGTCGTGGTGGCCCGGAAGTTAAGGCGCCCGCTTCTCATGTATGGGTTCGAAACCTAGCAAGTACCAGTGACTTTTTCCGAGTTATATGATTATACTTTCTATGATTACTTAGACACCACATACGGTAAAGGCAAGCATCGTGTCCTCATCATCAGCCTATAAGTGCCCACTGTCGAGCAAATGCAATAGGCATTTGACACCGAGAAGGTTTGAGCAATAATCACCACGCTTACTCAAGGTGGAATGGCGATTTCAAACTTATAATTACAAATTATAAGTTCCAGTTTCCTCAGAATTTGTTCCTTCACAGTTTGTTTAAATAATCTTAAAAAGTTCATATAAATTTATCTATTTATTTATTTATTTATTTAATAATTTTTGTACACACAGTAAGTTGAACAAGAAAAATAATACAACAATATAATCTATACTAATATTATAAAGAGGTAAAATTTGTAAATTTGTATGTAGGGGGTAATCTTTGGAACCGCTGGTCGGATTTCCAAAATTCTTTCACTAATAGATAGCTATATCTAATATTCCTGAGTGCTACAGGCTATAAAACATCACGCTACGATTAAATGGTGCCGAGCAGAAGAAACCGCGCGAAAGTAGCTAGTTTATAATATGAACACATACGAAAATAAGAAGTAATACTATACATCAAATATAATGATTGGCACAAATAATGGCATGACTGAGTACAGCTGTTGACACCCTACACGTACTTAAATATTGAGTTTGCCTTTATTATTAGCAGAGAAAGTCTTGTTTGGTTACCTTCCGAAATATTACGCATCCGTCCCTTATGTAGAGATGTTTGAAAAGACTTGCAGACAGAAGTGTATGGTTTTCTCCAAATTGTTTCAAGGAACTCGAAATGTTTTTTAAGAGAAAATGATATTCTTTTTGTGGCATAGGTCGGCAAAAGAGCAAGCTGATTATCTGATTGCTAGCAATTAGTAGTTACGATTGTTTTGCCCATATTTAGGATTCCAGAGATTTGTGTATTGGGGAGGTAAAGATTTTGACTGCACGGTTGGCGCAGTGGCTGGGCTGCTGTGCAACGTGTCGCGGGTTCGATTCCCGCACGGAACAACACTTTGTGTGATCCAAAATTGTTGTTTCGGGTCTGGGTGTTATGTGTATTTGAATTTGTATGTTTGGAAACGCACCCACGACACAGGTGACAATCCTATTGCGGGGCAACGTTTTCTTTAATACCTAGTATAAAAAAGATTGGGGTATTCAGAGTTTTGTAATTATTTTCTAACTAGTTGATAGATAATGAGCTTTCATCTCGACTGAAAGTAAAATTTTAATCTTACTTAGATAAAGAACAAATTTTTTTTTTGTTCCCTCTTTACACATCATTTACTCACCTAAGTCATAAAATTAGGTATCTATACATGTAGTTGAAGCAATGGATAAGGACAAGTAATAATACGAAGATAAGTTAATTTCACATTAAACTGGAAATTTTACGAGAAAAACTGATGTTTTATAATTTACATTATTTACATAACACCACAATTTATCTCTCCCATGCAAAAGAAGTACTAAATGATTGTTATAAAAACCTTATTAGAGATGCTCTATAAAATAACTGTCCAATGTCCGTCTCAGGCAGGTACCTAATTTAAATACTAAACATTCGGAGCGGGGTTACGGTCTAATTCCTAAACTAGTTAGCGGAACCGCCGGCTCTTTAACTACAGGTTACCATGTACCATTTAAATACTCCTTGGTTGTAACCTTTTATATTTATGATCTTATTGGTTTAAAAAAGTAATTATAGTCTGATGGCACGATAGAGTTTGTGATACCTCCCATTTCCCATGATAAAATGAGTTATCGCGTGTTAAAAATAATATTTTATGAGATATAACAATATTTTTTAATATTATTACAGTTATAAACCAGTGTAATCAAATCTCTAACTGTGTAGATGTATAATGAAATAATAAACAAAAGGAAAATTAAAAAGTCGTAAAAAAATTTCTATGAAGAAAAAACATTTTTAAAAACTAATAATTATTGATCACATTTAAGACCAATTGAATATAAATAACATACTTAACAAATGACAAAACACAAACATGTATCTGAATTACATTTATTTTTATAAGAAGAAAACCTTTGTTTCACAATGTCGGGGTTGAATGAATGAATGAATGAATGAATGAATGAATATACTTTATTGTACACCATAATAATAAAAAACATAGGAAACAAAAACACAAAATATAGTACAATTGGCGGTCTTATCGCTTAAAAGCAATTTCTTCCAGACAACCTTTGGATGGAGTTTAACTGTAGAAGAATTTGATACGGGCAGTTTACGGCGTACATATACATTATAATATATAATATAATTATATAATATATATATATACATATATATATAATAATAAATAAACAAATAAGAAATTATAAAAAAATATATATATAAAAATAAATCATAACAATAGGTATAGCGATGATGGATAAGTTACTGAGCCATGTAGTGGTCGTTCACCATTTTCTTAAAAACTGCTAGCGACTGCGCACGTCTAATCGTCACTGGCAAAGCATTCCACAGACGCGTGGCCTGTACAGCAAACGACTTATCATAAAATGACGTGGAGTGTACTGGCATCTTCAGTTTCAGGTTTTCTGATGACCTAAGAGATCCTGAATGCGTGTCACAGACAAACTCAACACGATTTTTGAGGTAAGAAGGGGTCGTTGGGTGAAAAAGAATACTGTATAGTAAGGAAAGTATGTGAGCATTCCGACGAAGTCGTATTGGAAGCCACTTGAGCTTAGCACGAAATTCTGACACATGATCATACTCGCGCGGGGTTGTCACTATCTACCAGATAAATTTTTACACTTCATCTTTAACTTTAATGAGAATTATGAAATTAGCCTTAAATACCTTATCTGGTATAATACATACTTATTATTACTTAGAAATTCCTGAAGCAGCCTAAAAATACCCCTTGATTTTTCAAACAGAGTTTTTATAATACAAAGGACAATTCATAGCCTACTTTCACCCACAAAACATTTGCCCTTTGTCCTCATTACTTCAAATTACTGAGAAAATTACACAAGAATAAAAAAAAAAAAAAATGATTCATGACACTTCTACGCAAAGTAACAAACGACGCTATTATAATTTACGACCGGAGACAATAAAAACACCACACTTTTTCGAGAAACCACAAGGAAAAAGTACAAATTGTTTGTCAGTTTGTTCAAAAACCTCTCGAAGGTTCGAGGACAAAGGGATATTAGCACATTTTCTTTTTAGTTATCCCGTTAGCTGACCGGAAAGTTGGGTGAAACCTTTTCCAACTAATACTGGAAAGTTTGACCAGTTTTTCTCGGACAGCCGTGTGAGAACGTGGACAGAATTTAAATTTGGAACGTTTTATACAATACAATATGATATTTTGTAACAGACTTTTTGAAAAAAGTTTTATCTACATATTACAAAAAATAATTATGTAGTG